ATGTGACAGATGTTTTCAGACCTTTGATAAAATCTAATAAAACATTTATGGAGATTGGATCCTCTCATGGATTGACTGAACTCTTTCAGGGTCAAGGTGGGATGGGTCCCCAAAAATGATGATCATTGCCAAGGTTTTGACCATCAGTTCTGAAGCCACCATCACCATGGTAATGCAGATGAGTCAACCAGCATGTGGATCATCTCTTCTATGACAATTGAAGTTCTATTCCATCAACAACAAGGTATCAAAGTCAATGGCATGACTGACCAGGGGCCTCTACCTCAGCAGCTGCTAAGATCCCACCAACCAGTCTTATCATTTCACAAATCCAGAGGGACTCAAGGGTGAAGCTCCCATGTAAACCATATATGGTGTTAATAAACTGTCCCATGCTAGCACAAATCCCCAATTACAAGTGGCACGGTTAGGAGAAGCTGCATGCTCTGACGATTAGAACCTCTGAGATGAAGAGCAGCCGTAACAGAGACATATGCTTCTCTAATGAGTTAAAGAGGAGGTAAGCTGCTTGCGGACCAAGCTGGCAAACACTGACAGAGCCCTGTTTCAAGCACAGAACAACAAATTGAAAGACAGCTGCCATCCTCAATGACTTGCACGTGGAGGTAAGGTGAGGGGGAGTGGATCCATGTGTCAACTCTGGGTGAGTGTATAGTTTGTATATTTCTGTTTAATTTAAGAGTATTGTATACGTATAGATATATATGTGGATTTTGAATTTATTCTTTTCCAATTCTTTTTCTCTTTGTGTAAATATTTGCATTGATTTATAATATATTTTTGTGTTAATTTTATATTTTGAAAAAGGTTAGTTTTAATAGTGCCTTGTGTGATTTTTCTGTGAACAATGGTAATTTGATTAATTTTAAAGAATTTGTCTTATATTTTGTTAAATTGTAGATTTCATAAAGGGTTGTTTCTGATTTATACTATCACAATTAATTAATCATTTTTTATAATGGTGTATGTTTTTTGTGTGAACATTCATTTTCATGGGTTTATTTTTGTAGGTGTTTGCATTTTATATATTTCTACATTTTCATCTTCAGGCCTGTATAAAAGTATATTTTTACTTAGACTTTGTTTTACTTTTATTATTCTGTAAAGGATTGTTTTGAACACGTTACCTGTATTTCATCATTAAAAGGATTATATTTTAATGTGTTTATCATCATTAAGAAAAGAGCATTATGTTTTATTTTTGTAATAATGGGATAATTGCATCTTTTTTGAAGATAAATTTTCTTGAATAAGTGTGTTGAATTATATCATCAATTAATATTTTTATGTGTACTTGGACCAATGTTAAAGTTGTTAAAAAAATACAAATTACACATTTGTTAAAAGGTTTTTGTTTATATATATATATATCATTTTGTTTTAAACGGGTGTTTTACTGTGACTAGATATTATTTAATTGCAAAAGGTTTTCTTATTATTATCATTATCATTTCATTGTGCATTGTGTATTTCTTTCCTAATTGGATTTGATTCTTGGATTGTATTTCTTTGTTTGAAGATTGTTTTATCTTGGGTACAAACGTGAAACAGAGGGGAAAGAAAAAGTGTAATATGTTTGCTCACCATGTGTTTTTCACCTTATTATTTTAATGTAAAATGTTTCAAAAAATGCATTTATTTTAATGTTATTTATAATGTGCTTACTATGCAGCCATGAAAGATATCAATTTGACTTTATTCCTTAGTCATTCTATTGAGAAAACACCTGTGTTGCCCATGGAAGGAAATGGTTTTAATACTGCACATTGTGCAAGCATTTCAACAGCCAATATCTTCCAAAGGTAGGCTAGATGATACCTCGAGGTTACGGTTTCTTCTATGTTGAATGAGAATGAAAAGTCAAATGAGTTGTACTAGTTGCTAAGTTAAGTAAGAAACATTATATTTAAACATCATATAATAAAAATATTTTCACAAAGTAAACATTTTTGTATCTAAAATAGAGAGAACTGATTAGCGGGAACATATCTCGAGGGAACCAATCTAATCAATTCACAAATCCATCGAAAGGTAACTTTCCAGTGTCCACAAACTTGCTGTGTTTTTGTCTCCGGCTTAATAAGGATTGTTTTCATCGTGTGTTACACAGTATGTTTATTTTTGTGATTAAGCTCAGTTAATGTGATTCAGTATTATTTCGTAATTTATTCTGTCAATGTTCCTATTATAAAAGCAGGCCTACCGAATACTGATTGAGGAAATCAGTTTAATCTGAAAATACCGAACTAGGCTTAGGTATTCTCCAACCAAATGGGACCAACATGAAAATAATATGTGTTTTAAAAACTTTACTTTCAAGATGGTTATTAGTGATTCAAAATAAAATAGTAGTTTGCACAGAAAACAATAACTTAAGTTTCGCCTTTAGAGGCAATTCAAACATACCGTTAAGAAATTGTCTGAAACTATAAGAGATAAAGCAGAAGCTTTTCCAAGTTTATTTATCCATAAAAAACAGTAAAAATTCAAAGCACTTTTCTACGTCTAATGGTTTCACGTGGATGGTGACAGTTCCTTTTTTTTACCATTTTGGAGTTGTTATTGGATAACTTAAATATAAATATGTGGTAAAGAAGAAACTATTTAATTCTCAGAAATTAATTTTATCATTGAACATTGACACAACATCAGAAAGAAATAATCAACATATATGTTGGTTTCATTGAATTAATTAAAAAATAGTTTGTTTGTTTGAAGTTAAGCACAAAGCTACACAATAGTCTATCTGTACTTTGCCCAACACGGGTATCGAAACCCGGGTTCTAGCGTTGTAAATCCGCATACGTTCCGCTGTGTCATTGGGGGCATTAAAAATAGAGGGTAATTTATAATTAATTAATAATATAGTTTGATGAAGAAAGTTTAAAATTGTATTTTGATGATTTTTTTTTATATTGCTTAATGTAGTAGTCATATTTGTATGTTTAATATGAATATTTTATTTCGAAACTATATAATTCATATCATACATTCAAATTATAATATTTTTAAACCGCTTCTTTTCAAAGAATCTAAAACTTAAGCTACTTCAAAGTAACTTTAGAATATCACGTTCCTTAGATTTTGGTGTATTTAGTTTTTAAAGGATAGTAAGTTAAATACCATTCTCCGATGAGAAGGTAATACGTAATATTATACTTGTGTACGTAATATCGATCATGTATCTTGTGCAACATGTATCTTGTGCGTATGCGTCCCCCGGAAGGTTAACAGCAAGTTTATAGATGTACAACAGTAAAATCCGAGGTTGGTTTACACGCGGTGGACAGAGCATAGATAGCTCATTAGATAGACCAAAACCAAGTACTCTACATGAACACCAGAGAGTAATTATTTTGCTGTCTAAATAGGCTAGTGTATTTTCAATTAATATATTTTGTGTGTGTGATTAATGAGATACAAGTACTGAGCTTGCTTTCAGTAAGAAGATAAATCTAGAAACCAATTATAATGTATAATCAATTGTAATTGAATAAAAAGTATGAAAGTAATGAAAAGTTGTTTTAAGCTCAGTTTTACTGGAAAATTAAAATTGTTGATTCAGTTGAACTTTAGGCAAAATAGGTTTATAAATTTTAATGGACTGCAGTTGCTTGTTGAATTAAAAGGAGACGACGTCTCGGCTTCTATACTAAGGCTTTCTTCAAACCAGTCTGAATATTACAAGTGGCAATCTTTCCTAGTTTGCCGCTGTAGAAGATAGGTCCACCTTTCGAAAGTGTTCGAGTTATAGGATTTCGAATCTTTGTGTTAAGTTGGTTTTTTGAACACACGTGTTTTCCTAATAATATGAATATGTACTACTAGTGAATTTTACCAACTTTTAAGGGGAGTGTTAACGTAGGACATGAACTGTTTATTTATATTTGTTTTTATAAGTTTAATATGATCTCTGTTATGACATCACTTATCATATCTTCTGTTACTGAAGCAACTATAAAATACTTTGTTTTGTGGAATAACTGCAATTAAATACTTAACGTTATTTATTTACTTTTATTCATATATTAATGAGTTAATAGAAAGATAGAAAGTTGTAAACCAGTAAAAATTTCAACACTACTCAAAGAGTAATAAAAATATGCTTGAGTTATCAGTTTATTCTAATATCGATAACCTAAAATATTATACAGATATAACGCAAAAGCTGTAAAAGCACATCAAGCTACACACACACATATATATATATATATTTCCCATTTTTACATTTGAATATTTTTTCGCAGAGCAAAACGAGCCAAAAGTCAGAAAAAGCTGATGACTGGGCGGGTGACTGGGGGATGTAAGCTCTAGAAAAAATAAACATATTCATATATTAATTAATACATATATATATATATATATATATATAATTAATAAATATTAAAGAACAAAAAATAACAGTTCCATTGGTTTTATATTTTTAGAAATTTCACAATAAAATTGTTTATAAATATTCGTTGTAGTTATGCAACGAATTCAACGAGAACGTAGTTTTACAATACGTTAATATCAGGTAACAGAATAAGGCATGTACCTATCAAAAGTGTTCATTCTTTACCAAGTCAAGCAGTATGCTTGGAAAAGTATTGTGTGATTTTATAGCATTGGAAGATTACATTTAACCATTACAGATTCTATATTGCATGAGAAGACTACTTAGTATTTTTTATTTATATCTAAAAACATTTGAACGAGAATGGATTAACCAGATTAAAACAAAGCTTTGTTATCTGGTTAACTGTTTAAAGATTGATCACTTGTTTGAAGTTAAGCACAAAGCTACACAATGAGCGATCTGTGCTCTACCCACCACGAGCATCGAAACCCAGTGTAAGTTCGCAGACATACCGCTGTGCCACTGGGAGGCAATTGTTAAAAAAACGTCATAATTTAGTACAAAAGGTCTATGTGGTGTATTGTATAAAACGTACATTTTACAAAAATAAAACTTAGGTATCATCGACGACTCAGTGATAGAATCCTCCGAAACCACCTCCATATGCTCCAACATGACCCAGCCCATATCCTCCCAGGTGACCTAGTCCATGCCCTCCCAGGTGACCAATTCCATGTCCTCCAAAGCCGAGGCCTACACCGAATCCACCAGCTAAACCAACAGCTGGTCCGTGAGCAACAGCAGCTATGGCAGGAGCGTGGGCAATGGCAGCGACAGGAGCGTGAGCAACGGGGGCAGCATGAGCTATACGGACGGTAGCAGGGCCAACTGCAGGAATTCCAGGCTGGCTAGAGGCTACGACAGCGGCGGCAGGAAGGCTGGTGGCAGTGCCCTGTTCGTTGGTATGGATTTTGGCGCGGAATCCAGCTCCATCAGCCACGTAATTGACGTTCCTGGCCCGTCCGTCGATGTCTCTGATGGTGTAAGAACCAACCTGGTTGCCGTGGGCGTCGCCAGCTTCCCAACGGGAGTTGGAAGCGCCAAGAGGATCCACAATGCGGTAATTGAATCTGTAGTTACCAAAGTCCTAAAACGAAACCAGAAAAAAATTATTATAGCAAAAAAAACAACAAAAAACAAACAATAATTTAAAGAAAAAGTATAATTGTGGATAACAAAGATCGTTGTTATAAAATCGTGATCTTTAAGCAAAAAAATATATTAATATCTCTTTGTATATTTTTACATGAATACAACGAGAAAACAACTTTAATGTAGAAAGGTAGAAAGATAGGTGTAAACTTATAAAAAAAATCTTAAATACTCTTTGAATACCAAGTGCATTAATACACTATATTTATTATGAAGCAGGTGAAAATATCTGTAATTTTGGAAGCATCAATGTTTTGTCAGTAACTCAAAAATACATTGATTTCAAGATGCTCTTATTTTAGTTTTTGTCCAGACTTATTACTCGATTACTGAGAGCCAGTCGTAATTTGGACACATTTTAAACTATATCCCGTTAAAACATTTGTTTATTTTTAGTATTTTATAGAAATTATCAAAAATTGTTTTTCGCTATCAGCTGCTTAGTTTGTTGGAGAAAACTCATTTGTCGATTTGTAACTAACGTCGTATAAAGGCTTAGACGGTAATTAACAGTGTAATATAATTAACTGTGTATTTTAAGCAATTATTCACAATAACCGACAGACTTTACTATTATTTTCTAAAGTTCCGTTTCTTGACAAAAATAAATAAAAGTTTAAGATCCCTGTTTTAATATATTGTATTATCGTACTTACATCTTGAGCACGAGAAGTTGTACTGACACCGCCGGCAACGCCATGGACGTATCCAGCGCTGGCAACGGCTACAACGGCGAGCAACACGGCAACCTGTCCAGAAATCACTTTTATTAAAATTCGCATACATCCGTGGTTTATTATGTAGATATTAAAGTTTGTGTTGCAAAGACCCCACTGCGTCACACACACATTTATTTTATAAACAGTTATATTGCAAATGGAAAAGACAGTAAAAATGTCTTATAAATCAGTAATGTTTTACATACATTTTACAAAACAGGAAGCCTTCTAACAGAGATTAAATATAATAAACCACGAAACATTCAGTGAAAGCGGTGTAAAATAGTTTACTATGAATTTATTAATACTCACCTTCAGCATTCTGGTCTATTAACTTGCTTTCAGTTTAGCAATGACAGGATACAATGTGTGTGGTGTGGAAATGAGCTCCAATGCCTTTTATATATATTATCGAAATACACGAAAGGCAATACGGATTGGAGTAAACTGGCACGGACATAATGTAACCTTGGCCAGCATTGTTTTTACATTTCTCTTGATGTTTTATTCTTTATCATTTTAAAGGAAAGGTTGGCATGTACCATGAAGTATTATATCTTGAAACATTTATCAAGAAATATTTTTGATACATTTTCATAATTGACTTACAAGCTTTTGTGCGTTATGTTGAAATTCCTTTAGATGCGAGGTCAAAAGTAGTGAGTGAGCTTTTTCTTCTAAAAGTGTCGTAAAACCTGGAGTAGCGTAGCGTGAAGGTCGATCACCAAACCCATGTGTCTTACCGTGTGTGATATGGGACATACAATTATCTTAAGATTAACTAACCTTGGAGAAAGTTCTAATATAAGTTAACTGTTCCGTGTGAGGAAAACTGGTTTAAAGTGGGTGTGGTACTGTTTAACAGGACATGATGTATTGTAATTTTGATAATGTGGTTAAAAAGTTTTTAGAGCAAGTGGTTATTGCCATTGCTGCACGTAAAAACCGTCTTGACATTCTTTAGGAACAAAGCAAAATAAATGTGTAAGAAAGTCATTATCAACAGTTTCTGGAACTGTATTCTAATTTTCATTGAAGTAGAACTCAAATATGATCGATGTATTAAAATAGTTAATATGAGATATACATCGTGTTTCTTACTGTAAAACAGGTATCTTAATATCAACTTCTTGAATAATACAGACCTTACGTTAATACACGTGGGGTATATCAAGGTATCAATAAAACAAGCAAACATTATATATGTATGTAAAGTAATACATGTATATACTACTAGGTGCATTATTTCTTTCATAAAAGAAATAAATCTATAATTTTAGTTACTTTGTTATATTTCCAAAACAAAATACAAATTTATCTCAAATATTTCTGTAACATCAAGAATATAGATGTGTATATTTGTAACAGATATAAAGTTTTGGATATATATCTAGCACAATTGGTTAAAAAACATTAAAGTTTATACGTCAGCGTGACTTTGCGATGAATTAACTATGATACATTAGAAAAAAGTGTCATCAATTCAAATCATTTACACTTCATTCATAAAACTATCAAAATACGTTTTATGATATTTAAACCCGGGGAATTTTTAAGTATAAAAGCTCTAGTTGTATAAATTAACTCAGATTTTCGTGCTTCATATACCTGACTGTAAAACATTATACAATATTAATTTTCTTTTTTTTTAAGGATATGAAATACTTTATTCAGAATTTGTTAAAAGAAACTGAAACATTATACCCGATTTCTAATTTCACAGAATTTGGTCTACATTTGAAGGCTATTTTTGCTGAGATCTCTCAGATTTTTCCGAATACTTTTATTATTTCATTAAAATAATAATGAATTTACTAACGTAGATTAAACTTAGAGGCAATTATTTTTGTTTGTTTGTTATTAATTTAGCGCAAAGGTACACGAGGGCTATGTGCGCTATCCGTCTCCAATTCAGCAGTGAAAGACTAGACCTACCGTCAACTCTTGCTCTTGGGCTACTCTTTTATTAACGAATAGTGAGATTGACCGTCACTTTTTGGCTACTCTTTTACCCTCATATTATAACGCCCCCCACAGCTGAAAGGGCGAGCATGTTTGGGGGGGGGGTGACGAGAATTAGATCGCTCTAACCACCCGGTCATGCAGGGTCCAATTTTGTTTAATCGTTTACAGTTCTTGTTCTAAGCCAAGGAAGGGGGTTGTAAGCGTTTTCCTCATCGAAGGATTTATTACTTGATATCATTTATAATTGTTGTAAATTTTGTTTTCTCACGTAAGAAAAATTCGGATAGATAAAACACAAGTTTATCATAAAGTTATAAACACATTTTTTATCGTAGTGCTTTGGCCACTAATCTCCCTCCTAAAACCGGGTTTAGCAACAAACAAACAAACATCAATCTGCCTTGAGTGTTTTATATGTATCACACGATATACAGTTAATGCCCTTTAAACCTTTATGTAAACGAGTAAATATTAACGAACACAATTTATGTAAGTTAAATAAATGCAAATAATGTTATCTACGTTTCGAACTTTTCATGTAATGTTAAACATTTAAGAAAATGAAAGATGTGTTATAACCTAAACCAGATAGACACAGCTAGACCAGATAGGTCCTAATTTTAAAGAATAATTGTGGAAATATAACATGATGTTTTTGGTTATAACGCATAAATATCATATTGACAGATCTAATTATTATAATTTTTGAATAGTTACGTTTTCGCTATACTTATTTTGTGTTGGTTGCTCTTTAAATAATTTTCGAGGAAAAACTGTATATTGAAAAAGAATTGTATCCACCCTTAAACCGTAACAAAAATTAAGTTTCTACCAGAAAAAAATAAAACAAAACTTGATTAAAATTTTTATATATGTGTTGTTACCTAGTTTATCTAAACCTGTGTTTCTGTTTAGCTGCCAAATGTATTTGTTGAGATATTGGTGTCTTTTCTAAGAAACGTTTATTTTACCTAACAGTAATCTTTCAAATAACACGATATCGTGATTATCTTGAAAAGAAAAAAAAAGCCTACTGTAGAAAAGGAAATAACAATCATCAAGGGCGTGGGTTTAACGGCTAAAAATTTGTAGAGCGTTGAAATATACATTTTTACACACACAGCAGCTCGTTTCTGTGCTTGGTACCTACGAAAAGGTCACTGTATCCTTCTGTTAAAAATTGAAAACTACAGAAATATTATGCACTTTAACATAGATATAAAACTTTTCCACTTAATAATTGATGCAATTGTGAGTTGTAAATTTAACAAAATGTTACAGAATTAATTTATACTTCTTAGAGAGACAGAAAAAATTATAGAGTATTCAGTTGTTACCAAACTGATCCTTTTCCGTTGTTGAGACAGAAAGGTTGCCTGATAATTTAAAATAGGATTTATTATTATATATTTATTTTAATATCAACGTTTGTTTAGATTAAATTTATATTAATAAACATGTATAACTTATAGTGTTAAATATATATCGCGAAACTCCCGCCTATTCTCTAAAGTTGTAGAAGATCCTCGAGTGTAAGAATCAACAATATATGTGTGTACGTGAACGCCAGTGTTAGCGTCAGTATTGTTACTTAAAACTGAAATTTACAGAAACTCTCCACACGCCGATAAATATAACCAGCGCGATGCGCCGAAAAAGCATCTATTATTGGTTTGCTATAGTTGATATGCTATAAGTTTCGGAAGCTATAACTGTGATTGTTATAACGCTTATCAATCGGAACACTTCAGGTATTTGTAAGGTATTACAAACCATTTAACTTCAGTGGATTCTCATCAGACATTAGTATTTTAACGAAAACATTATAAAACTTCACGATGGAAATTCGGCGTGTGTGGCTGGTGAATAACGAAGGACAAAGCTAGCTACCTCCCTGTGAAGTGAATTATATCTACATTAACTCATAATTAACTCACTCATCGTGACCCCTCAATAAGATATCGAAAAGTTCCAGACTAGAAAGAAGAACTTATATTGCTTGTAAGTTTGTGAAACTTTTGTTTATAAATCATTGCTCGTAATAACCATTTGTAATAACTGTTATTGTAAATTGTATTGTTGTGTGTACACAGCGTGGTCACAAGTAAATAGACACCA